TAGAATTCAGTATATATGATCATAGCTTAATCATCATGATATTCCTGTAGAACATTCCTTTTGCAGAATTTGACTTTATCCCAGGATGTTATGACATCAGTCATGACATTCGCAAATCTGGTTTTACCAAAAAATAATGCCAACAAGCAAAACACTTACATTTTTATTTTTCATTGTCATTATATGGTGATATCGATATTGTTCATCAAGATTGGTAGAAATTCATCATAGATTTTGATGGATTTCCAACATCTGGTATCAAGAGCTCTGGTTGAGTGATTTAATGGAAGAACGATCGAGGAAGAAGAAGAAGAAGATCACAGTGGCGATGAATTAAGCTAAAGGGAATTTTCTAGCAAGTCTCCCAATTCTTAAATGTGATAACTATGAAAATTGGTGCAAACAGATGAAGGTTATATTTTGTTTTCAAGGTCTTTGGGATCTTGTGAAACATGGATTAGAACCGCTTGATGAAGACGCTTCAGAAGAATTATAAAGTTCTCTTTATAATTCACCAATGTGTCAGCCCAGGAAATTTCGAAAAGGTTTGTGGTGTAGGATCTGCAAAAGAAGCATGGGAAATCCTAAAGATATCATTTGGAGGCGCTGAGAAGGTGAAAGAGGTGAGGTTACAAACTCACAAAAGAACGTATGAATTGCTTCATATGGAAGATAGTGAGAGCATATCTGATTTATTCACTCGGGTTATGAAACTAGTGAATCAAATCAAGACTTGTAGAAAGACGTTAACAATAAGAGCTATTCTTTTGAAGATCTTAAGATATTTGGCTCCGAAGTTTGATCATGTGGTAGCTTCCATAGAAGAATCGAAGGACATGTCAACTTTGTCGAAGTAAGAACTTCAAGGGACAATTGAATCCCACGAACAAAGAGTTTCTAAAAGAGCTGCTGAAAAGTCGAAGAGTGATGTGGCTTTGCAGGCTCAATCAACAAGAGAAAAGAAAGGAAAAGGAAAGTGGTTCAACAACAAATGTAAAGATGGCTACAACATTAAACTAGTAGAGGAAATAAACACGAAGAAAATGTGTCGAATTAGAGAAGACCGTATCAATGCAACAAAAGAGGTGGTGTTGCAAATAGAGGAAGAGGTGGTGGTCGAAAACCTGACAAGAGTTATATTAAGTTTTCAATTGTCAGAAGTATGGTCATTGTTCTAGTGATTGTCTAAAAAAATCAAGAAAGTGATGCAAAGTTTGCAAAACATGAAGAAGAAGAGATGATGCTGATGGTCACAACAAGAGATGAAGATAGATTCAAGGACCAATGATACTTGGATTCAGAATGCTCATCACATATGTCTGGAAGGAAATATTGATTTGTTAACATAAAACCCTCATTGAAGAACACAGTGAAATTCACAATTGACAATACCCTAGCAGCTGAAGGTATTGGTGATGTTATGGTTATGAGGAAAGATGACAAAAGGTTAGTAATTTCCAATGTATTGTATATACCAGGAATGAAGAGAAATTTGCTCAGTATAGGGCAGTTGGTCAAAAAGAATTACAAAGTGTCGATCAAAGATAAGGTGATGAGAGTCATCGATGCAAATGAAAGGTTAATCTTGAAGGCTCCTATGTCTTAGAATAGAACTTTCAAGATCGAACTTAATGTGATGGAGCACAAGTGCCTTTCGACTGCAGCTAGCAGAGTAAAGTGGATATGTCACTATCGACTAGGTCGTCTCAACTTCAGAGACATCATAGATTTAAAGAGAACAAATATGGTTTCAGGGTTACTAGAAATTGACATTCCAAGCGAGGTGTGTGAGGAATGTGTGCAGGAGAAACATCACAAGAATAACTTCATCAAGGATATAGGAAGCAAATCGAAGATTGTCCTCGAAGTCATATACTCTGATGTATATGGACCAATCCAGGTAGATTCGTTTGGAGGTAACAAATACTTTGTAACATTCATAGATGATTTCAGTCGAAAACTGTGGACTTACCTGATCAAGAAGAAAAGTGAAGTGATTGAGGTATTTACCAATTTTAAGTCTATGGTCGAAAGACAAAGTGGTTCAAAACTCAAATTTTTTAGAACTAATGGTGGTGGAGAGTATGTGTCGAAAGACTTCAACAAGTTATGTGAGAAATAAGGGATTGTGTGTGATGTGGCGCCACCCTACATTCCTTAGTAGAATGGAACTGCAGAAAGGAAGAATTGAACCATCATGAATATGGTGAGAATTATGTTGAAAGGAAAGCATTTATCTAAAGAGTTTTAGGGTGAAGTTGTGTCGACTGTAACATATATTTTAAACAGATGTCCTACGAAGAAGCTAGAAGGAATTACTCCAGAATAATGTTGGTCTAGTACAAAGCCTAGCTTGAGTGGTCTGAAGGTATTATGATCTATTGCACATAGACATTTGCCCGATCAGTTGAGAAGAAAACTTGATGACAATTCAAGTCAAATGATTCTAGTTGGATATCATTTAACAGGAGGTTACAAGTTATTCGACCCAGTGAACAAGCAGATTATGATCAGCAGGGACGTGATCATAGATGAGTTTAAAGAATGGGATTGAACTGAAAATGTCAAGAAAGATTCAGTGGGAATCCTACTTGAAGAACCAGAAACTCAAATCAAAAGAGAAGTTTCACAAGAGGAACCAGCAGTTATAGATCAACCAAGTACAAGCAGACCTCAAAGAACAAGACGCATGCCTACAAGGTTGCAAGAATGTGTGATTACATCAGATGATGTGGTTGATAACGAATGTGAGCTGGTACATTATGCTTTCTATGTATATGCTAAACCAGTCAATGCAACTGAAGCATTGAAAGATTCGAAGTGGTTGAAAGCAATGAACAAAGAAGTGAAGTCCATCGAAGACAACAATAGTTGGTCATTTGTTGAATTTTATCAAGGCAAGAAGGAAATTGATGTCAATTAGGTATACAAATTGAAGATGAATCCTAAAGGAGAAGTAACTCATCACAAAGCAAGACTTGGGGCGAAAGAATTTCTATAGAAAGAAGGAATATAATTCAATGAAGTTTTTGCACATGTGGCTAGAATTGAAACAATCAGGTTAGTTGTTGGTCTAGCAGAAATAAACAATTGGCACATATATCAGATGGACGTGAATGTGAATTCATAAATGGACCCTTAGATGAAGAAGTTTATGTTAAACAACCAGTTGGATTTGTGAAACATGACGAAGATAGAAAGGTGTACAAGTTGCATAAAACTCTGTATGGATTGAAACAAGCTCCAAGAGCTTGAAATAAAAAGATTGATAATTTTCTAAGGGAGAAGGAATTTGTGAAGTGCACAACTGAGTATGGAGTATATGTAAGAAGAAGCAATAGTGAATTTCTTATACTATGTCTCTATGTCGATGACTTGTTAATAACAGGTAGCTGCAAAAGTGATATCGAAGACTTCAAAGATGATTTCAGCAAGGAATTCGAAATGTCTAATCTGGGTGACATTTCATATTTCCTTGGCATCAAATTCTACAAGAGCACTAGAGATTTGATTATGCATCAAAGAAGATATGCAAGTGAAATTCTCAAGAGGTTTGAGATGGAAGAATGCAACTCGACTTTGACATCTGTTGAACCAAGGTTGCAACTGTCGAAAGATGCAGATGAAGATAATGTTGACTCAATCCAATACAGAAGACTTATTAGGTCATTAAGATACCTTTATCATACAAGGCATGGCTTAGCATGCAATGTAGGTATGATAAGTGGATTCATGAAGAAGTCAAATGTATCACACCTAGCAGCGGCGAGAAAGATATTGAGGTATCTGAAAGGAACTCTCGACTATGGCATTTTATTTCTCGCATTTGATAAGGGAAAAGAATGCAAGTTAGTGGAGTACTGATTCGAGTTGGTGTAGTGATGCTTAGGATCGAAAATCCACAGTAGGATATGTGTTCATGCTAGGTGGTGCACTAGTTGCTTGGAGTTCGAGAAAGGAACTAGTAGTGGCATTATCGTCATGTGAAGCAGAATACATAGTTGCTTCTCTTTGTGCATGTCAAGCAACTTGGATGATGAACTTGGTCGAAAAAATAACAGAGAAAAATCACGGAGAAATTACCATGAGATCGACGACATGTCAACTATCAATCTGGCGAAGAACCCGATAGCACATGGTCGAAGCAAGCACATCGAAATGAGGTTCCACTATCTTCGAGAGCAGGTAACAGATGAAAAGATTGAAACACTGCAAAACTGAGAATCAGATTGCAGACATCATGACAAACGATGTGCAAGTCGAAGTATTTCGAAGATTAAGAGCTATGATGAATGTTGATAGCTTAGACACAATGAATTAGGTGGTGAGTTGAAAGTAATTCATTGCGTCGAAGCAGTTTGTTCGACAGAGACAAGAGAGTGTCGAAAAGATTTGATTTGATTTAGAAGTGTGGAAACAATTTTTTACACACAGACTTATTTTATATTTAGATAGATTTGATTTAGATCTAAAATAGATAGATATGATTTACTTCAAAAATAGGTATTTTGGGCTTTTAAAGTTTTGGGTTTTGGCTTAGGGAACCAGCTAATCTAAAATTATAAATAGAATGAGTAACTCATATTTTTTGTAATCAAGTCAATTTGATTGTATTTACAGAATTTGCAGTTGCAATTGAATAATAAAGTTTTCCACCGTTTGTAGGCAGAGAGAAACTCTACAGAAAAATATTCTTTCTTCATCTATTATTTTTCATTATCATTGTATGGTAATATCAATCTTATTCATCAAAATTGATAGAAATTCATCATAGATTTTAATGGATTTTCAACAAATACATCTCCCTATTTTAGAGACACTTTTTTTGTATTTTCAATAAAGTGCATGAGCACCATTAAAGTTGCAATCAACAATCATCTTTGCCTATAATAATATGTACCGTAACTGATACAATTGATGACGCCTTCATTTCTAGAAATAAATATCGTTCTGTTACCAAAATATACAGACTAATTTGAAGAGAAAAATCAACCTCATATTTATCTAGGGAAAAATTGACTCTTGGTCATGTCATTGATTGATGATACCGCAGAATTACTATTAAACTGACCCGAAATAGACTCTTTTGTTATGTTTAAGCTCGTTCTCCTATCCATGGAAAATACTGGTTCTTGAGGAAATGGTAATTCAACTAAAAGATTACTGAGATATGAGACAACTTGTGCCATTGTTGGTCTATCAAGTGGACTTTCTTGAACACATAACAAACCAATTTGAACGCACTTAATAACTTCATTATCAGAATATGAGTCTTTTAGAACGGGGTCCAACAATTCCAATGGCGTTTCAGTCCTCCATTTTGTCCAAGCCTGCATGAATTTGTCAAATTTAAGATTTCAAATCATTGTTGTTTCCATGTGTTATTAAATATATGGTTAAGTACATGAGCATCATTAAAGGAAATGATATAAGTTTCAATCCTTACCATACTTAAGAGGTCATCAAAATCATCTGATGCAATGGGGCGGGCATTTCTCTTTCCACTAATTATCTCAATAATTATAACCCCAAAACTAAATACATCTGATTTCTCAGAAAATTGTCCGTGCATTGCATATTCTGGAGCCATATAACCGCTATAAAAAATATTGATATTAGAACCTTGTTGAAATTTAAGATATGGAATTATAGATAACAAGCATTACTATTTTATCAATTTTGTTGATGGTTGTAATATTGTAGCCCGGTTATATTGGATAAGAAAAAGTTCGATCGGGCTAAAGAGCATGTAAAGTGAAATATCACAAGAATATATGTAAGCTTCTATGATTAAAGAATGAAATTCAATACAAACTTACTATGTTCCCACAATTCTGTTAGTTCTTCCCAGTTCTTGATCGATTGTAACTATTCTTGCCAAACCAAAATCAGATATTTTTGGATTCATATTATCATCTAACAGTATATTGCTAGATTTGAGATCTCGATGTATGACTTTAAGTCTTGAATACTCATGTAAGTAAAGAATTCCTCGTGCAATTCCTCCTATAATTTTGTAACGCTCGAACCAATCTAACACCCTGTGTTTTGTGTGATCTACAAATTTATCATAAACCATTTAGTTAAGAAACTGTGTAGTTGTTTTAGTGATATTTAAGAAATGTAAAGTATAAGATCAGAGAATCCTTACCAAATAGAAAATAATCAAGACTCTTATTAGACACATAATCATATATAAGCATTTTCTCTCGTTCTTCCAAACAGAATCCTAACAAAGTCACCAAATTTACGTGTTGAAGCTTGGCTATGAGTAATATTTCATTTTGAAACTCTATAGAACCTTGTCCTGAATTTATTGACAGTTTCTTTACTGCTATTTCTTGTCCATCAGAAAGAACACCCTGCAATAATAGATATCGTATTATTTATATCTCTCGCTTATATTTTTTTGTCTCCGATATTATAATTTTGTAGATTGTTTGTGAGAATATTTTATATAAAATTTCGGATTTAAAATAAAATTACTATATTTTGTAATCTTGTTAGTTTACCTTGTAGACAACACCAAATCCTCCTTTACCTATCTGGTTCTCCTTTGAAAATTTGTTGGTGGCAGCTTGAATTGTAACAAACTTGAATTGTAATGACTCCAGTGTTTTTAGTTCATCCCCAACTGAACCAATTAACAATAGTATAACCAGAAAAATAAGCAAAATGAAAATGTGTTTGTAGTATAATTATTATTTTTACTATACTTACAATGTTCCTTTAGCATTGTCCTACGTCTCTGCCTTGTAACTCTCCGTTTGCCATAGCAGCCTACAAATATAAGTAATACCAAAAGAAAGGCTATGAAAATTATGATGATAATTACTTTTGCTCCAACTCTACTTTTTCCTGCAAAAGTAAACAGGTCCTAAGAAGATCAGACAAAACATAATGTGAAGCTCACATGATTCATGATGAAAGTGACTATGACTCTGATTTTATCACTCATGGAAGCAACTATTGTTGAATTAGGTAGCACTGGTACTGATGGTTGATATTTGGGCATAATGTATTGAAACTACATAACAAGCCACAAAGAAGGGCTTGTCAATTTTGATGAATCTACAAAAAACTAAATAAGATTTTTAGATATTAAAATTCTTCCATCATAGGGAGTAGGAGATGTGTTAAACAAAGACAATCAATGTAAAAGAAAAACACGTTACTGGTGTGTTATATGTTCTAAGCACAAAAAGTAATTTATTAAGTATGATTCAAGTTCAACGGTTAGAAAAAAATTCAATACAACGTACTCCCATTATTTTGAAACTGAGGTGATTGAGGATGGAGCATGGTTGGGGCACCTTAGGTATGGACATGTATGTTAATTTTAAAAATCTTTGCACTTGAATTTAAAGAAAATGGTATATGGCTTGTCGGAATTTAAACAGCCTACAAATACGTGTGAGAATTGCTTGATAAGCAAGCAAATGAGGAAATCATTTGTAATCAAACTCATATGAGAGTTAAAGGCAAACTTGATGTGGTTTTCTATGATGTTTGCGGCTTTTTGTAATAAGAAAAGAATTCAACATGAGATAATTGTTGGAAATCCACTAAAAGCTATGATGAATTTCTACCAATATTGATGAATAAGATTGATATCACCACACAATGACAATGAAAAATATGGAGAAAAAAAGAAAGAGAAGACAATTATTTATAGATTTAGGTTACTCCCTCTATTTATAGATTTAGGTTAACTTGCTCTCTAAGCCAAAAGCTAAAACTCAAAACTATAAAAGTCCAAAATATCTATTTTAGAACTAAATCAAATCTATTCTATTTTAGATCTAAATCAACTTTATTTAAATCTAAAACAAATCTATTTAAATCTAAAACAAATCAAATATGTCAAGCAACTTGCTTTGACAACCACTCCCCTTCGACACACATAGTTTCGACATCAAGGAATTACAATTTAATACATTACCCAATTCATTGTGTCTAAACTATCTATATTCATCATGACTCTTAGTCTTTTGAATATTTCGAACTGCACTCCCTTCGTCATGATATGTGCAATATGATTCTCAGTTATGCAGTATTCCAAGTTCATCTTCTCATCTGCTACCTGCTCTCGAAGATAGTGAAACCTCATTTCGATGTGCTTGCTTCGACAATGTGCTATCAAATTCTTCGTCAAATTGATAGCTGACACGTTGTCGATCTTCATGGTAATTGCTCAATTATATTTCCCTGTTATTTCTTCGACCAAGTTCACCATCCATGTTGCTTGACATGCACAAAGAGAAGCAGCTATGTATTCTACTTCACAGGATTATAATGCCACTATTGGTTCCTTTCTCGAACTCCAAGCAACTGGTGCACCACCTAAAATAAACACATATCCTGCTGTGGATTTTCGATCCTCAGCATCACTACACCAACTCGAATCTGTGTACTCCACTAGCTTTCACTCTTTTCCTTTATTAGTTGTAGGAAATAAAATTCCATAGTCGAGAGTTCCTTTAAGATACCTCAATATCCTCTTCGTAGCTGCTAGGTGTGATACCTTTGGCTTCTGCATGAATCTATTTACCATACCTACCTTGTATGCTAAGTCAGGCCTTGTGTGACAAAGGTATCTTAAGGACCTAATAAGTCTTATGTATTAGGTTAGATCGACATCATCTTCTTCTGACTCTTTCGACAATTGCAACCTTGGTTCAGCAGGTGTCAAAGTTGAGTTGCATCATTCCATTTCAAATATTTTGAGAATTTCTCCTGCATATCTTCTTTGATGCATCATCAAACCTCTACTACTCTTGTAGAATTTGATGTCAAAGAAGTATGAAATGTTATCCAAATCCGACATTTCGAATTCCTTGCTGAGATCACCTTTGAAATCTTCGATCTCCTTCTTACAGCTACTTGTTATTAACAAGTTATCGACATAGAGACAAAGTATAAGCAATTCATATTGCTTCTTCTTACATATACTTCATGTTCAGTTGTGCACTTCACAAATTCCTTCTCCCTTATAAAATTATCAATCTTCTTATTCCAAGCTCTTGGAGCTTGTTTCAATCCATACAAGGCTTTATGCAGCATATACACCTTTCTCTCTTCGTCATGTTTCACATATCCAACTGATTGTTTAACATAATCTTCTTCGTCTAAGGGTCCATTTAGGAATGCACATTTCACGTCCATCTGACATATGTGCCAACTGCTGATTTCTGCTAGACCAACAACCAACCTGATTGTTTCGATTCTTATAACAATTGCAAAAACTTCATCAAAGTCCATTCCTTCTTTATGGAGAAATCTTTTCGCCACTAGCCTTGCTTTGTGTCGAGTTACTTCCCTTTGATATTCATCTTCATTTTGTATACCCACTTGACATTAATTGCCTTCTTGCCTTGAGGAAATTCGACAAGTGACCAAGTGTTGTTGTCTTCGATGGGCTTCACTTCTTCGTTCATTGCTTTCATCCACTTCGAATCCTTCAATGCTTCAGCTACATTTACAGGTTTGACATCTGCATAGAAAGAATAATGTACCAGCTCAACTTCTTTATCAATTACATCATTTGATGTAATCACACAATCTTGCAACCTTGTAGACATGTGTCTTGTTCTATGAGGTCTGCTTGTACTTGATTGATCTATAACTGCTGGTTCCTCTTGTCGAACCTCACTTTCGATTTGAGTTTCTAGTTCTTCAAGTAAGATTCTCACTGAATCTTTCTTGACGTTTTCAGTCCAATTCTATTCCTTAAGCTCATCTATGATCATGTCCCTGTTGATCATAATCTGCTTGTTCGTTGGGTTGAACAACTTGTAACCTCCTGTCGAATGATATCCAACTAGGATCATTTGACTCTACTTATCATTAAGTTTTCTTCTCAACTGATCTGGTACATGTCTATGTGCAATAGATCCAAATATCTTCAGATGAATCAAGCTAGGCTTCACACCAGACCAATATTCTTCTGGAGTAATTCCTTCTAACTTCTTCGTTGGATATTTGTTCAAAATATATGTTGTAGTTAACATAGCTTCACCCTAAAACTCTTTAGGTAATTTCTTGTCTTTCAAAATACTTCTCATCATATTCATGATGGTTCAATTATTTCTTTCTGCAGTTCCATTCTGTTGTGGAGTGTAGGATGGCACCACCTCATACACAACCCCTTCTTTTTCACATAATCTGTCGAAGTCCTTCAACACATACTCTCCACCACCATCAGTTCTTAAAACTTTGAGCTTTCGACCACTTTGTCTTTCGTCCATAGACTTAAACTTAGCAAATACCTCGATCACTTCACTTTTATTCTTGATCAGGTAAGTCCACAATGTTCGACTAAAACCATCTATGAATATAACAAAGTATTTGTTACCTCTCATCGAATCCACCTAGATTGGTCCACATACATCAAAGTATATGACTTCGAGGACAAACTTTGACTTGCTTCCTGCATCCTTGCTGAAGTTATTCTTGTGCTGCTTTGCCTACACACATTCCTCACATACTTCGTTTGGAATGTCAATTTCTAGAAATCCTGAAACCATATTTCTTCTCTTAAAATTTTTGGTGTTTCTGAAGTTGAGATGGCCTAATCGATAATGCCATATTCATTCATCTCTACTAGCTGTATTCGAAAGGCACTTGTGCTCCATCACATTAAGTTCAATCTTGAAGGTTCTATTTTGAGACATGGGAGCCTTCAAGATTAACCTTCCATTTGTGTCGACGACTCTCATCATCTAGTCTTTGATCGCCACTTTATAATTCTTTTCGACCAACTGCCATATACTGAGCAAATTGCTCTTCATGCCTGGTATGTACAACACATTGGAAATTACTGATCTTTTACCATCTTTTCTCATACTCATAATATCACCAATACCTTCAGCTGCTAGGGTATTGTCATTTGTGAATTTCACCATGTTCTTCATCGAGGGTTTTACGTTGACAAATCAATCTTTCCTTCCAAATATATGTGATGAGTATCCTGAATCCAAGTACCATTGATCCTTGAATCTATCTTCATCTCTTGTTGTGATCATCAACATCATCTCTTCTTCTTCATGTTTTGTAAACTTTACATCACTTTCTTGATTCTTTCGGTTTTTTGGACAATCACTCGAATAGTGATCGTAATTCTGACAATTGAAATGTTGAATGTGACTCTTGTCAGGCTTTCGACCACCATCTTTTCCTCTGCCTCCATCATCACCTCTTTGGTTGCCTTGGTATTATTTTCTCTGATTCGACACGTTTCCTTCGTGCTGATTTCCTCTACCAGTCGAATTGTTGTAGCCGCATTTACCTTTGTTGTCAAACCACTTTCCTTTGTCTTTCTTGTCTCTTGTTGATTGTGTCTGCAAAGTCACATCACTCTTCAACTTGTCTGTAGCTCTTTCAGCCATTCTTTGTTCGTGAGATTCAAGCGTCCCTTGAAGTTCTTCCTTCTACCAATCTTGATGAACAAGATTGATATCACCACACAATGATCATGAAAAATATGAAAGAAAAGAAGAAAGAGAAGACAAGTATTTTTCTACAGAATTTCTCTTTACCCACAAACTATGAAAAAATTTATTCACTTGCAAATGCATGTTCTGTGAATATAACTTAATTGACTTGATTACAAAAATATAGATTACTCCATCTATTTATAGATTTAGGTTAGTTTGTTCTCTAAGCCAAAACTCAAAATTATAAAAAAGCTCAAAATACTTATTTAAGAACTAAATCAAATTTATTTTATTTTATATATAAATTAAATCTATTTAAATATAAATAAATCTAATTCGACAACAACTACTCCTCCGACACACATAACTTTTATATCAAAGAATTAAATGTAATAATCATTGCACCATACAAATCTCAACATAATGGTTTAAAAAAGAAGGAACATATGAAGTGTCACCAATTTCACGGTGTTTTAAGAATCAAACAATTTTGACATTGACAACATGTGAGACGAATTACATGTCAACATGTGATGCTACTTGCCAAGTTGTTTGACATAATCATTATTGTATGAAATGAAGATTGACTAGAAAGAAAGAAGTGGAACTAATAGCAGATACCAAGACAACTATCAACTTTGTTAAAAATTCCATATCATATAAGAGGAGAGAGTATATATACACAAAGTTTCATTTTCTTTGAAACCAAGTAATCAAAAGGAAGATTGCTGTAACATATTGCAAAACTGATAACTAAATGGAGATGCATTGACCATGCCATTGAAAATTTGAAAATTTTAAATGAACGAGAAATATATTGTAAAATTTGTGAAATCAATGGATTAAAAAATTACCTGAAGAAGATGAAGTTACATTGTAAAATGGATAGAGCTCATATCTAACCATACACGACGCAAGCAGAGCACTTGCACCCTCTTCATCACCGCAACACTCCGGCAAAGTTCCGATCGCCATTCCTAAGCACGTGTCACACATAGATGTCGATAAATCCGTAGTACACTGCGCCAATCCATAAACCGTCAACGACGTTTTCCTAATTTTCACTTCTCCGGTAGCGAATCTCTTCGCCGTCGTGGAATGCGCCGCCATAAACGCCACCTTATTCAACAAACCGTACACCGTTTTATTAAACAAGTCAAAGTCAACGCCGGAGACTTTTTTACCGTCTTTCAGATTCAACCTTGGTTCGATACTGTAGAATTTAAAATACGTATTCGTGTAACGTAGCATACACTCTTCGTACCAAATAATCGCTTGCGTTTGGTTGTTACAACGCCGTTTGATCCGTTGAGCGGCGTCAGTAACGCAATTTTGACATGTGCTTGTGTTGATGTCGCCGCGACAGAGAAACATTCCGTTGACGGCGTTTGTTGTTCCGAAACCCATGATATTCATGTAATAACCGTCTTGTTGTTGGGAGGAGTTGGTGGTTAGAGAATTTAAGAGGACGTTGATGTTTGTAGATAAGGTGCTGTTTGGTTCGTAGGTTATGGTGTCGTTGCAGTAAGAGCCTTTGTATGTTGGAGATGCTTCTGTTGTTGAAGTTAGAGTGAGGAAACCAAACAGGATGTAAGCTGTGTAGGAGATTTTCCAGATCTGTTTTGAAGTAGAATCCATTGTTTTGTTTTAGATGATCAATAAGTTATTTACATCACAATTTTTTTGCTTGCTAAAGGATGATGATCATTCATGGGATGTTGTTATTGTTGTTAGCAAAGGATATAAAAAAGGTATTTGATTTTGTTTTTGGGTTGAATGAAAGGTAATACATTAATATAGAAAATGCCTTTTTGACCGTTCTTTTAGGTTTGATCCCAAATAAATAAATGATTTATGTACATGTTCTTGAACAACAATGCGATCATTTTTTCGGAGCTGATCGGAAAAAGTCAAAGTGGTATCTGAGTTTAGTATTTAAAGATTGCTTCTCACTAGTCTTTCTTGGAGCTACGTATATATAATATATGGTATCTAATAGAATAATTGAATCGTCTTTATGACCATCACGGTGATGGTTCTCTTGTCTTTTTGAGATCATAAAGGGCATTGAATGGTTATAAAATTTTTGTTCTTGGTTTTAATGGTCGGCTTGAATCTGGTGTCTTAGATGTAGCAGCGCGTCTTGGATTGCTACGAGCTTTGTGCATCTCAGATCTATCTTGAGGTGTCGAATCAATCTGGATATGGACAACTTGGTAGGTTATCCGGGATATACATCTCAGACTTATATAAACCTCCAAGTGTGAGGCCTAATAAGGGAGAAATGCTTAAGTTATATGGCGTCTTAGAAGGTACTGACTGGATAGAAGATTGTATCCTGATGCCCAAACGGTACTTGGAAATTCAAACGATGGGGGTTTCTCTCTCTGCCAACTGTAAATTGTCATATCATTTGGTTGCTTACTGCTCTGAAATGTTTTTTTTTTTGCAATGATAGTTGTTAATGGGAAGCGTGTATAATCATTTAAGCCTGGTGGCTAGCGATTGTTTCCTCGTTCTGCTATTCTCTGTTACTACCCACAAAACCCATTCTCTTCGAATTTTCTCAGGTAACTTCATTCCCTTTCTTTTATTCGCTTAAGCTTTTCTTTGTTTTATATTATTTGGAGAGACATCATTTGTGGGACGAATATGTAAAAGCTTTTAGGTAAAAAAACAGGTAAAATCGATTGTGGGTTCATAAATAGAGAAGTATATGGTGTTTTCATTGATCTTTCATTCTCTAGTGACTTGACTCAATGTCTTCTTCCTCAGGTTCGGTTGAGGTCACGATGGAGTTTTCCCGTGCCTCTTTTAATTCAGTGGTCTTGAATTTTGACTCGGTGTGTTTAGGTGAACAAAATGTCAAATCGTTTATGAAAGGTCTCTACATTTCTAACACTGGTAAAAAAATAATGTTATCTTGGAGTCGCGTGCCCCATGTGAGAAAGTATGTATCTACCGCCCCTGGGTCTCCCAACGAGTTCTTCTATTTTTATACGGACATGTTAGAGACCCTTCGGGTAAGCATTCCTTTTATTGAGTTCAAGGCAGATATATTAACCTCTCTGGACATTGCTCCCTCTCAGCTTCAACCCAACAGTTAGAGATTTGTAAGATCATTTGAGATAATGTGTGGTGCTCTTGGCGTTAGTCCTACATTGGGAATTTTTTTCTCTTATTATGAAGTTAAGGGTGCTGGAAGTGGGGGTTGGATTTCCTTGATGTGTACTCTTAGTAGGGGTCTGCTCTAAGTATATACCTCTAACTTCAAGAATTTTAAGGATAGGTTTATGAGGGTGAGGGGTTGTGAAAATTTCCCAGAAATGTTATATAAGGAGGACAAGTCATATCGCTTTCTCATCTTCTTGACTCAAGATATAATGCATATTAGAGCTCTTGAAGTCAAGAAATCAAGTGAAAAAAAGAAGGTTGCTGCGGAAAATTTTGATGCCTTTGAGATCATAATGGTGCGTAATCTCTTAAGCTATTAAGAGGACGTCGTGAGTCTATGGAGTTTTTAGGTAAAAAGGTTTTTGCTTCTGACCGAGACAATTTCTCTTGTGTAATTTATATGTCCCATTTTGTTCCTAATATGTTTTTTTGGCTTTGTAGAAAAAATGGCGGGCTTGAACCTTAAGGAAAGGATGTTGTTGTTGGAGAAGGCTAAAATTCTTCTCTAAGAGACCCAAGATTCCGAAAAGAGTGATTTATCTGAGATCTAGGTTCAGACTCATAAGAAGAAGACCAGGGTAGAAAAGGTATTTTCCCATGGAGCTCCTATCTTTGTTGAAGCTTTTGTCTGCCCTCATATGAAGAAGAAGAAAACTGACCATGAGAAAGCCGTTTTTGTTTAAGCATCTCACATGAGTCATAACGATGGGTTTGAGGGTTTTCTTGGCGGCCTCTTTTCTGGTAATCTGGCCGAAGACTATATTTCTCACCTTTCTGAGTTCTGGTTATGGGACTCATCCTTTGATGACCTACATTTTTTGTACGACTATCTCAATGGCGATGGAGACATTGAGAAGGGGAGTTAGTAGGTGCTCAGAAGCTGATCCAGAATATTGGTACCCATCTGATGAAGACTAATGTGTTACATTGAAGTATGTTCGAGGTGTCTGATTCTTTTGATAAAAACGAGGTTGAACTAAAGAAGAGGTTCAAAGAAGTGCAAGAGTCCTAGAAGTTGAAGGATGCTTTGGTGGCATCAACCAACGAGTGTGTCGCTGCCATCTAGAATAAGCTGGAGGAACTCAAAGTGGACGAACAGGTGTATAAATCTGGGCTAGCTGAAACCCACATGAACTTGTTAGATGCTTAGAAGCTTACTAAAGACCTGAAGGGTAAACTCTCCGAGCAGGAGAAGTTGGTTGAAAGACTAAACACGAAGCTTGAAGTTGTAGTGATGGAAAGTCTTTTAGCTGGAGATCAAGTTTTTGACAAGGCAAAAAAGCAAGCTCTTTTTCTCTATCTTTCAATCGACCCGCCCACCTTGAATTTCTTTAAAACAATTCGGGATGGGAAGCTCGTAATGGAGGAGGATATGAATTCCACTTCGGAGTTGGAGGCCCATGTTGATCTTCCTCTTTCTCCTGGTAAATATGTTATGGCGAAGACTCCATCTAAAGAGCCATCGACTCAAACCTATCCCGTTGACACATATCATGTTTAATCTGTAAATTTGATGTAATATTTGTCATCTTTTTGTTGTGAGCTTGGAGTGCTCCTTTTGTTTGTAATGAATTTGGTTTTGCGTTTATTTGTACTTCCCGGAACCTTTATGTTTATCATAATTAACCTGGCTAGTGTTTTGTTTTAGTTTCCATAAAATGGTCCTTTTAGGTTTGTAGCCATCCGACCTTTGGGTGTTATATAAGTGGTGACTTTTATTTGCAGTATATATCCAGGGCTTCCGAGAATGGTAGTGCGCTTGAATTTTTAGGTGTCCCTGGAGATGTGAATTATTTCGAGGGAACGATGTCGGAGTGTTTGACAAGTTCGCGACGAGTGGTCAATGAGATTTTATGAGTTCACAATGGCCATTTAGAGCACTTTGATGGGTGTTGACATGGCCAGAGATATCTTTGTGAGTTCACAACATACATTCAGAGTGTTTTGATGGGTGTTGATATGGTCGGAGAGCTCTTTGTGAGTCCGCGGAAGATATTCAAAGTGCTTTGATGGGTGTTGAATATGGTGGGAGAACTGACTTTGTTTTTCATTTTATCGCAAATGTTGCAGATAGCAAGAGTCACCATCGACTTTTATTTTATTCAATAAGGAAAGGGTGAAAATAACAAGAAAGACCTTGATAGATTTTGAGTTTCGGAGGGTAAGAAATGAAAAGGGAAGGTGTTAGCACCCTTTTCATCCATAGTTATCTACGGACTCTTAATTACTTAACTCACTTTTTGAAAACTTGCTTTGTATGTGATTTGTTTGAAAATATTTTGAAATTGTCAATGTAAGGCTGACTTTGCAATGATTCTTGTATCGGTCCTCAAGAATGTATACAAAGTATTCTCAAGGAGTGAGAATATCTGACTCTGGTTTGACTCTACTGAGGGAGTCAAGGTTCAACATATGCGGGAAGTGCCAAAGTCTTTCAACTAGTGCTCAAGTTTTCATCTTCAACTGGAGATTTGGTTATCCATGACAGGGGGATTCATGTAGGTATTTGTGGATTGTTGTTGCAATGGTAAAAATAATTGTTTGTATGTTGTTCAAAGCTTGTGGAGTTCTTATGCCTCTTATGAGGATGTGATGTCAGACAACATGTTGCGACATTATAAAATTATTAGTGATCTTGACAAGGCATGGTGGGTCTTAGCCATGTTAAGCTGGTGGATCAGAAGTTCACATATCTCTTTGGTGATTAATGGTTATGTCTGGGAGAATTTATTTTTCTCTGCAGATGTTAAAAGGACTCTTTAATTATTTATTATTGAGAGATGTCACAAATATGATGTTCTGATGTCTTGGTGTGTGTCACTAAGTCTAAGTGAAAGGAGAACACTTAGAATCCAATGGAAGACAATGTGGATGAAGATGTGTTGGTCAATATTCAAGCAGAAGAAGACAATGTCTAACTGGATGTCAGGATATTATTCAGGACATGTTTCTTGTGCAACTAATAAGGGAGTGTTACGAAACTTTGTGATCAAACATGTGTCAGAAGGTGCGTTTGACTATGCATGTGCATGAATTTGGACTGGTTCTTTTCAGCAGAAACAATCTAGAGCATTTAAAGGAGTTCAAAGATGTTTTGGATGATGCACTTTGATGTAAGTGGCAGTTTTATCCCTCAATTAATGTCTCTTTGACCAAGATCGTCTCATTCAAAGATCGCTAATTCCTAAGAAAACGGCTCATCTATATATAAAGGTCTCTCATGTCCTATATCTCCACGTGAGTGCTTGATTTTGTTTATCATCACTATAGGTTTTGTTCGGGTCTGGGTAACTTGTATCTGAGTTTGGTTCTGTGAAGGCCTCCTCTGTCAATTTTTACCGAAAAAATAGGAGAAAGGGTGTACTCAGATGATCAGTCTAGAATCTACAGCTCTAGATGTTGCTTTCAAATGTCGGACAAGATGTTTCATCTTGTGGTTGTGGCCTATTATGGTCAGTTATGGT